GAAAAAAAGGACGATAGCCCCTGCGCATGAGCCTAAAGAATCATTCTAAACCCAAAAATCAACAAAATTCCGAGAAATGAAAACCTCGCATTCGATTCAGCCATCGATTTCTGTATCGAATGCGAGGTTTTTTTCCAAACACTATTTTACTTTCATTTCTCTGAATTTTGCTGATTTTTGGGTTTAGAATGATTCTTTAGGCTCATGCGCAGGGGCTATCGTAATTTTTTTTGCTAAAAATTCCAAATCTGCCGAGATTTTTGACCTAATCGATGCGATATATCGCACTCCACTTCGACCACGTCATTTGAGCTTGACGAATCACCTTAACTCCTCTATGTTGGCATATCATTGTTTCATTTTATTTCCTCTTGCATATCAATGTGTGGACTGAGTCTACCACGAAATACCAACAGTCATTCAGCGGAGCACTCGGCATCGCCGCGTAATGCGAGGGCAAAGAACTATAAACACGAGGCGGTCAGTTGCCGAGCCATTACGTCATTACAAAATCCGTCTACAATGAGCAAACTCAGACTTCTTCTTGTCAACGCTCAAAGGATGCAGGAATTGGACGTATTTCTATCAAACGGAACTATGTGTATTATGACGTGAGCCCTGTTATGCGTGTTTCCTTATGGGTCTCAGGGCTCATGTCTTAATGCACATAGTTCCGTTTGATGGAAATACGTCCAATTGGACGTATCTTTGCAACAATAAACCAGCTACATTTTTGCATGAGCTTCCACGGTCGTGTACTCACACGTAATACAAGGTCCAAGGGAGAACGCTTTTATGGTTCATCATTGTAAATTAACGGTCAATTGCAGGATACATTGTCAGCTTTGAGAGACGAGTTTTTCGGTCTCTTTCTCATCTCAGCCTCTCATAGAACGGCTTCATCTTATCGAGACCTCTCTCGTTCTCTGTTCACGCAATCTTGATTCAGTAGGTCACCTCTTTCTGTCTCTCTCTATTTAACTATTCTATCGTGCTAAGGAAAAAAGGCGTACGAACATTCGAATGTTGCCAATTCCTCTGGATAAAATATTTATTTTTGAGATGAGCTAGGGGTATGGTCATTGAAATTTCGCTCTAACTTGATTAAGGCGGAGTACCAAGAAAGGGAGAGTTATGCAATGTTGCCATTTCCCGGAATTAATAACGAATTTCAAAACTTTTCAAATAATCGGAGCCATTCCCGGAATCTCCGGAATTCCCAGTGTTGGAATTTTTCGGAATTTTCTCGGAATTCGGATTTTTTTAATCAGTTTGGTCGATTACATAATCAAATTTGATTATTTTTTGTCAAAAATGACGATTTGCAAAATTAAATTCGGAATTTTATACGCGTTGGAAAACTTTCGGAAAAATTGGGATTTTTTTCGGAACTTTTGAAAATCGGAATTAATTCCAGGAACCCCGGAACCTTCGGTAAAATAAAGTGGCTGCACCGGAGCTTTGCCATATCAATTATATTACTGTACAGAACGAATGCTTCACTTCCTGACTGATCTGAAATTGTTTGGCTTTCTTAATAGCCCCTTTGGCTCCTACTGATGGACCGCGGTAGTTCAACACATATAATGAGCAAACTTTGATGATTTCTTTTCCGGAAAATCACACTTTCTCATTAGTATCATTAGTTTTTCCCTCAATCATACGAATACCTCTTGATCGGGTTTGTCTACATCGGTCCTCGAAAGCCCGGAAGAACCAATCAGAGAGGGGCATAGACACGTCAAAACTCTTCCTGAGCAGGTGCTCTAGATTGAGTGCAAATACATTTCTTGAAAAATTCAAAGAAAATAAATATTTGCAATTTTTTTTCTCGAAAATCCTCAATTTAATAGAGGAACTTTGGCAACATTCCAGTGTTCATACGACGTTCCTCCTCTGCATGGCGGTATTTTGACGTGACCTTCGAGACCGCGCGAAGCTTTCGACCGGTTAACTGGACGTATTTATGCCGAAAGGAACTATGTCTCACGCAACTTCCATGCACATAGTTCCTTTTAACATAAATACGTCCGACTGAAACCGAGAGTCGGTAGGAAAGTGACAGTCTTTTATTTTTTAATTATGGTTTTTGCTCCAGCTTTTTGCACGAGCACTCAACTCAACTCCAGCGACCGCTACTGCTCAACCTTGGAGCCTCGTCGGGCCCGCGGCAGTGTCGAAACGGTAAGTCGCTGACGATTAGCGACGAAGCCACTTTGGCGTTGATGTGGTCGTTTCTCACGTGAAAAGGCGGTCATTTTAACGTTAATAATACGGAGCTTCAGATAATTCTCAATGAATTAGCACCACTGTTCGGAGCTCAGTTGTAATGTGTGTGTTTGAGCTTTTTTTCTCCCTGCCTTTCTCTACTAGACAAAAACCGCGACGCAGAAAAAAGCAGACACTTAATTTTTTCCGTTTTTTTTTTAAGTTTTTACTGAGGTTTGCGCCTTTGTTTAACTTTGAGGGTCGCGTGTCTTCGGAACTCTCCTGAATAGCAACAACGGTTCAAATTCCTTTTAAAGTACTTGTTAATTTGAACGAGAGAATTGTTGAAAATGCTGTTAAAAATTGCGGATATAACCTTCTTGAATATTTTTTGAGTGAAAGTAACAACAGTTTGAATTGAAGTAAAAAAATGTGTTAAAACTGTTATGAGATTAATTTTAGCTTTATAATTCTTGACATGATTGAAGAACATGCTTAAAAAAGGACTTTACTTTAAAGATTTATCCATGTAAATTTAACTTAAAAGCTATCCAAAAAAAGTTCGGGAAACATAATATTTATCGATTTTTTTAAGAATGTGTGCGAAAAGTGCCTCTTAACGGTCATTTTGACCAAGGTTCTGGTTGATTCAGAGGCAAAATATCATTCGATCGATCCAATGTTGAGGAGACTAACGTTTTATTCGAATCAGAAAAACATTAAGAAGAAATTTGATCTAAATTTGATTAAAATGTGGCAGAATTTCGATCAAATTGTGGAAGACATTCGATCAAAATTTGGCGAAAGTTGAAAAAAAAATTGATAAGAATAAGATATTCAGATGGACCTTTTAAATCCGATGAGCATTTTTAAATTACAGGGAAACCCGAATAAGTAGTCTCTTAGAAAGTTACCCCGAATCAGTGGCGAGGCGCAGATGATTGTTTATCGATTTTTATTTTCCCATTTGAAGCTGTAGTAAAGAATCGATTATTAAGGTGTTCGCTGCGAGCACTCTGTCTATCGATCCTTTTCTATTGGTTTAAATGGCATAATAATCGATATATCGCAAAGCGCGCCATTGCCCTGAATCCTGAATACTCCTTTTCACTATTCTTTACTACCATTTTCCTAAACGTGCCCAGTTTCCCACGGCTTTTTCCCTCTATTTTTCGCCATCCTGAAAATTCTGTTGTGCATTCAGTTTGACGTTGTTTGAAAAGACCTCCAGGATATTCGAAATGTTGATTATCCGAACCACCCGATCGCCGCATCAGTTCGGATAATTCGGTGTTTACTGCATCTAAAATCTCTACCATTACCTACTTATCTTTTCAGGACTCTTAGAATAGAATTGAGAAAGTTTATTTAGGATCCGTGAATATTTATTTCTATTAATGTCTGATTTAATCAGGGCCAGATTTACCTTCTTGCCGCCCATGGGCCGCCTATATTTTGCCGTCCCCCTCTCATTCGTTTTGATACTCGATAAAAACCATCAAATGAACGTGCCAGCGGGGAGGGGGTGCACAAGACACATTTATTCGTGTTGAACACATTTTTTGGAAAAGCCCTGTCAACACTACTGGCAAAAGTTCACGGAACTTTGCGCGAAAGTTAAGTTCCGTGAACCTATTTCTGTGTGGACAAGGCCTTCCATTCATAAGAAATGAACGAAAAAATTATGAAAGAACAAACATAAATGTGGATCAATGATTTTAACTTCCCCCACCGCGCCGCGCAGACCGCACCGTGTTTGGCGCAATGCGTGAAGTATTCATGCATTCTTGTAGGCGCTATCCGTTTCACGCTGACCGTAATGACCACACTGTGTTTGATGCAATGCGTGAAGTATTCGTGCAGTCTTGTAGGCGCTTATATGTGTTAGATGCCGATCGCCGCGCCAGGGCTTCTCCTTCTCATCTCAAGTTCTCGACATCATTTCTCTCTAAGTCGCGCCGTTCCAGGCCAAATGGCGTGTTTAGTCTCTCTCTTAACTCGACTTATTGAAGGTGCTGCCTCTTGTATCACTAAGAGATGACAGAATTAGAAATTACTATACTCTCAGGAAATGAGAGATTTTGTTGCCTTTTCTCGTATGTAATTTTGTTTTTATAAATCCGATTTTTTTATACCTACACTTTAAAAAATTGCAATTTTTTGCCGCTCCTTAGATTTGCCGCCATAAGCCGCGGCCCATGTGTCAACCCCCTTAATCCGGCCCTGAATTTAATCTGAAATTTTCTAGAATGAAAACTCATTCAACTAGAGGCAATGAATTTAAGGGGTTTGAGTAAATTAACCATTGATAGCACGCGCTTTTCAGATTGAAAACATATTTCTTTTTATTATTTTAGTTTACAATCATGGTTGAATATATTTACATCTTAATTTAATTTTTTTCTTTTGCAAATAAATAAGTTAAACAACAATAAGATTGACGACATAACGAACAACTAATCAACTGAAAAAAAAAGACTGTAAACTTACTAACTATTTACTTAAACTTGTAAACGTATACAGCAAGGATATCATACATGATGCAAGAATGAAAACATAGGCAAGTATGCAATGCAGAGTATACTTGATTTAATGGTAACGACAAAAATTTAAGAAAATTAGTTGTGATTTTACTCTCGTAGAATGAGCAATCGTCCGTTTTTAATGAGAAATTTTAAAAAAAATTACAGAAAGTGAATGGTAAATTTTGAGAAGCAATGAGATTTGTGAGTGCATCCAAATTGAAGTCTACCAAAAACTCGTCAACAAAGAAGTTAGTTTTTTCTTGACAATTTTCGGTAAAATAATGAAATTTTTAGTTGGTACTTGAACCACTCGTTAGACAACGAGATATACCTCATGAATCCAACGATGGCTCACCATGACCAAAATTAAACCTCATTCTCACAAAATGACATACAAAGTTCAATAAATTGATGATTTTCGTTTTGCACACATCGTGAGTGTGCTTCGTTCAAAAAAGGTAAGTTGCTTAACCTAAAAGGTTAAAACCAGAATGGAAAAACGTGCACTAAACCATGAAATTTGATGAAAAATAAGGGGGCTCTTTTAGAAATGCTCAATTAAAATAATTTTACAATGCACTTAGAAAACTAGGGACGAGTACTTAGAGAGACTCCTCATTTGTCATGTTTTAGGGATGCCATTTAACACCTCCAGAAGGGAGGGGCCTTTAAACACAAGCTAAATCACTGCTTCAGTTGTCAAATTTACTGCTTGTCAAACCACAGTTTATCTTGCCATGTAGACATTGCCAGCAACAGCGTGTGGCTTACTTTCCGCACCGCACAGAGGAAAGCTTATAAAATCATATCCAAAAGAAAATAAGGATTATGATGGAGTACCATTAATTCTATGTAACCATAGCCTGTTATAGTCGCACTTGCGCTGCAACTATGAATATTGGTAAAATCTACCAAAATCAAATGGCTCCCTTTGAATCACTAATTTCTTTCTGCACGTCAACCGCACCTCGATCATTTAGGCCCGAGAATAAAATCGAAGAAGAGCCGAAAAGCTAAACTCTCTTTAAGGAACAAGAAACCGTCTGCGTGTCAGGGGCCGACCCGAAGGGCTTCGAGCCGTCCTCCGCTACAAACTTATTCACCTGGTAGTCGAGCAGGACTTCATAGTCGAAGACATCCGAGCCGAGCTGCTGGGTGAGCGGGCTGGAGTTGCTGGTGAAGATGCTCTCGAAACCGCGCCGCCTGGCGAGCCGAACCTCTTCCTCCTCCATGAACTGGATGACCTCGATGTTCTCCTTGGCGTCCAGCTTCTTGTGGGTCCCCATCATGAAGCCGTGTAGGATCTTCCCCTTGCCCTGCGGGAGCTTGGTTTCCCGGATGGGGCCCTCCAGGAACTCTAGGAACTCGAAGATGATGTTCAGCCGGCTGGTGATCTCGACCGGAGGTTCATCGTGCACGTCGAAGCTCAACGACGCCCCGACGTACTCGCCCGTCTCCGCGGACTTGACGGCGAAGCTGAGACCTTTCTCCACCAGGTGGACCCACAGGACGTCCAGGAGCTCAATGTAAGCGTCCCGTTCGATCCTCGGCTGGATGCACTGCTCGAGATCGCCCTTCTCGCAGAAACTATCGGCGATGATCTCCGTGACGGCCTCCCGGTGCTTGTCGTCCAGGATCTCCGCTTCGTACTTGGTTTTACCCTTGTTGTTGTTCTCGTCAGCGAGGATGTTGGAGTCCTCGTCTTCCGTGCGGATCTTGTCCAGGATGTCGCCCAAAGTCTTGGAGGATAGGAATTCCGTTATACCGATAACGAAGCCTTGGTCTCGGAGTTTCGTGATGGTGTAGATGGAGTTTAAAGAGTTGCCTCCGAGTTCGAAGAACCCAACGTCCTTGTTGATGGGGCACTTGAGGCTGCCACCTAGGATGGAGGCCACGGTTTCGAAGAGACACTGGGCGGCCTTGCGCTTGTTTTCAGGAACACCGGTCAAGTCTACGGGCGCCCGCTTGCCCCCCTTCTCGCTGACCTCCTCCCCGTAGGCCTTGAGCAGGAACTGCCGGTCGGTCTTCCCGTTGTTGAGGAGGGGGATTTTGTCCAGGACCCGGATGGTGGGCAGGGAGTAGGGAGGCAGGGTCTTGCTCAGCTCCTCCTCGATGGTGCCGGCGGTCCAGCTCGGGTCTTGGAGGGTGACGAAGGCGAGGATGGCCTGGTCGACTTCTCCCGGCTTGTAGCAGAGGACGGCCACCTTGTCGACGCCGTTGATCTTGTGCAGGGAGTTCTCGATCTCGCTCATGTCGACCCGATGACCCCGGACCTTGACCTGGAAAAAGAGAAATCAAAATTTCAAAAATTAGACGAAAAGCTGAGTATTAACTGCGTGCATAAAATTGGATTCCACAGCGTTGTATGGCGCTCTGCGACACCTACCCGTCAAAGTCCCCTATCCTCTCAAAGCACCTCCGGGAGTTGGTGCTACCTCGTTCCCCCTAAAACCCACTGTCTCCACCCTTTCACTGGCCGCCCCTTTCGTCTCTTCCCAGGAGGAACCCAATCAAGCATCTTTTTCGACAGTCTTCCTTCCGTCATCCTGTTTGGTTTGACCATGTTAACAGGATTATGGAAGCTGAGTAAATATGCTAACAATTTAGATTGAGACTTGTACATACATAGGTGCCTTTTTCACAGCGCTCCCTGACGCTCTGCGACACTTAACCACCACAGTCCTCTATCCAAGAGTTTTTCTGGTAGTTGGTACTTCATCATTTCTGGCGAAACTCCTTGTCGCCGTCCTTTCACTAGGTGTCCTCTTCGTACTATCCTTTTAAAAGGGTCCCAATCAAGCACCTTCTTTGAGATTGAGACTTTTGCAGAGGTTTAAAATATCGGACTTTTTGCTTGAATGAATATTTACCTAAAATCTTAAAATCATTTCAGATTCTGACTGTCAATACTGATGATGAACATAAATCGATGGCCGGAATGCGCAACCACAGTCTCCATTGCGACATTCAAAATTTCCACTCCTACTTATTTTATTTGATTTGATTGAATACTTTGCTAACTTTGACAATTATTTTTATTTCTGCGACTTTTTTCGTTGTTATTGTTGGTGTTGTTTTTGTTCTGTGATTCTTACCTGACTATCTGTTCGGCCCTCGTAGACCAAGGTGCCGTCAACGATCTTGCCGTAGTCACCGGTCTTGTAGAGAAGAGCGTACTGAGGCTCCACCGTGTGAGGATTGGCGATAAAGCGGTCCGCGTCACGGTTGTTGACGTAGCCTGACGCTAGATTGAGTCCGGAGCAGTAGATCTCGCCGATCTGTCCGGAGGGCACCGGGTTGAGTTTCTTGTCCAGCAGATAGACCACGCTGTTGTCCACCGGCAGACCGATAGGAACTAAATCCCCCTTGAAGGCGCTCATCTTCTCGAAGGTCACGTCACCCATGACCTAATGAAAAAAAAGTAATTATTTGTTAAAATTTTCGTCAAAAAATGCACAAAATCATACAAATTCGTCCGCTTGAACTACAACTGAACGTCCTTCTGCCAAACGGAACTATGTGCTTTAAGACATGAGCCCTGAGACCTGAGACATGCATAACAGGGCTCACGTCATAATGCACATAGTTCCGTTTGGCAGGAATACGTCCAAGTAGCTCACTGGGAGAATGCAGGACTCCTGTGTGGCCCCCCAAAACTTGAGAAACTTGAAAAGCATAATGGCGGACTTTACTTTAGTTTAGGGGGCTCCACCCGGGAGAAGGGTCCTCGAAAATTTATCGGCATCCCACAAATTTTTGAGCCAGGCCGACACTGAAATTCACTGATGCTAGGGCACTTTTTTCTCAAGTTCAATCGGATGTACTGCCTTTTTTTGTTTAATTCTTTGGATATATTTTTTTTAGATTTACTCTAGAGGATTTTTAAAATTTCTGAAAATTGAAATGTTCATATGTTTTTGTAAAAAAAATTCCAAGCCGACAACACTGTTTTTCCTGCATTTAAAACTACATCAAACACTGGAAAAAAACACATTGGATCCAGAGTCCAGACTCTTGAAAACATTGACAAGAAAAAGGACTCTTGATTGATGCAGTTTTAAGCTTAAATCAAAAAGAAATCCGCTAAAATTAAGAGACTTGGTTCTTGATTTAAGCTTAAATCTGATTGAATCAAGAGTATTTTTCTTGTCGATGTTTTTAAGAGTCTGGACTCTAGATCCAATGTGTTTTTTTCTTCTTTTTTTTCCAGTGAATGTATTGATCCGTTTACATACATCTAAATTGAGGAAAAACAGAGTTGCCAACTTTCAAGAATCGCCACTGGTGTTTCTTCTTCCTCTTTTTTTCTTTCTTTTTTTTGTGTGCGTGTATGTCGCACTATGTTGGGTGTTGATAAAATTTGCGTACCTCAGTGCTTCCGTAGAAGTTGCAGATGACGTGTTCGGTGCCTTCGAAGTGGTTGAAGAAGTGTTTCACCAAGCTGGGCACTAAGGGCTCCCCACTACAGACCCAGAGCTTGAGGTGTTTGAGGAGCTGGTCGTCCCTTCGGGCGTTGTTCTTGTCGAGCTCGAGGTAGAGGAGGATGGCGCGGAGGAGGGATGGCACCAGGACGAGTCTTTCGATCCTGTGTCGCTCCAGCTCGGCGATGAGGCGTTCGGGGTCCTTGGTCACCTCCTTTGGGACGACGAGGATGGACTTGGGGGTCTCCGAGAGGAGCGGCGCCCAGATCTCACTGACGGAGTCGACGAAGGTCAGGGCGGTCTTGAAGGCGCACACCCGCTCGCTCTCGGCGTAAGGGAAGGTGTTCCATTGCCACTGTAACCGGTTGAACACGGCGCGGTGGGAGATTCGGACTCCTGGAATCATCCGGAGATGTAACCATTATTTTTTTTTTTTTTTTTAATTTAAAGATTAAGAAAAATACAATATCATTTATAAATACCTGAATTTAAACTTAATCTCATACGGACTCAATCTTAGAAGAGATTATATTATCGATATGTACAACTGCTAATTGAGATGTAACCATTAGATTGGATTATATTTGTACGTATTTCTATCAAACGGAACTAAGCGCCATAGGGGAAGAGGGTAGAGGAGGGTTTGGATTGGCGGCGGAACCGGGCGGCGCGTCGGGCTCATTACGACCTATACTCGCAATGCTTTTCCATGGCGCTTAGTTCCGTTTGACAGAACGTGCTATCATGGCATTCTAAATTCCTCAATAGGAACTCAAATTGGCGCTTAGTTCCGTTTGACAGAAATACGTCCATTTATTACAACTCTACAATATCCCAAGTAGCATTTTTCAACGGAAAAATCGCTATATATTGCGATTTTATCTGCGATAAAATCGATAAAATCGATAAAATCGCCAGGATCATAAACATATCTGAGCGATTATCCTCGCGATACAATCGGGCTTTTATCGCTTGACAATTTATCGCGATATTTTCGAAATAAAAATCGCAATTAATGGCGATGTAATCTCGATTTTATCGACAAAAATTGATAACGATTTTATCGAACCAAAAATTGCGATGCATAGCGATTTAATCGCCATATATTGCAATTTTTATTTCGATAATATCTCGATATAATGCCACCGATATAATCGCGATAACCAACCGATAAATCGCCATATTGCGATCACTGCTACTTGGGAATGGTTTTGAAGTCATTTACTATAGGAACCAACTTGTCTTCTCTATCGAGCAAAAGTTTGCATTAGACTCGCTGCCTGCGCCACTTACACTCCTCGTTTTGTCTCCTTTGAATTACCGTGAATAGCGGTGCACAAAATTACACTTCATACAATCCGACGAACTCTCTAAACTTTTTACAGCCATCTCATCAGACCTTTGTCGCGCTAAAGAGGAAACTTGTAATGACGTCAGCACCGGATTCTTTTTACTTTTTATCTATCTATCGGATTTTTTTCCGGATGAAGGCTCGAGGACGTCACGCCCACTTAGCAAGCGGTCGGAACGGTACTGCCGAATAATTAAGGAAAAATGCCGTGCGAGTATTCAAATGCTGCGAAATTTCTCGAATAAAATGTTCACTTTCGAGAAAATGTGTAAATATTTTCCGACGGAATTTTACATTGCCGGGTTATATTGCGAAGAGAATCCTCTGAAAAATTCTAAAAAAGTGTCCTCTCAAAAATTAGCATTTTATCTTGCATAATTTGGCAACATTTGGATGTCCAGCAGGCATTTCTCCTTGGCAGAGGTAGAATTCTCGGCAAATTGAAATTAGCAGGTGAAGGGACAGATTTGGAAGAACTTTCCAATCAAATGAAATCACAATGAGACGCTTTCAACAACTTGACGCTCTTTGCAGCAAAAAAAAAATCCAAAACAAATCGAAACAAATAAATTAATAAATAAATAAACAGTTTAAACGGTAATTAAGAAAAAAATGATGCACTAATTTACCTTTCGGAATTCCTGTGCTGCCCGACGTGTATAAAACAATGGCCATGGAGGGCTCATTAGCTGTCCTGAACATTTCATTTTCCTGGAGGATTTTCGATGAGTATTTTGCAGCTTCTTTTTCGAGGAAACCAGTGCTCACTACATTGATATTCTCGAAAAGTTCGTTTTCAGCACCTGTGTGGAAAAGAAATTTGAAACATGTCACAGGCCTTCTTTTTTAATTTGTGTACTTTTTCAAGTTGAATCACGCTCTTCAAGTGAAATTTGATGAATTTTATAAAATTATCAATTTAATCAGAAAATATGAACGATTGCCTACGCGGTTCGCCCAGGGGCATTCCACCGAGGACCTTAGGCACTTTCTTTCTACGTACGATTAAAGAAGCCGCCCTGCTAATCAAGTCCTGGGCAATAACCCGAAACTTTCAGAAGTAAAAGACGGAGGCAAGTTGGTCAATACCTAGATCTCCTCCACCTGACGTACACATCAGAATTTCAAAAACTTGGTCTTATTTTACTTGTGAGAGTATTTAAAGTAAGAATTGGACTGCGTAAGCAGATACAAGCCGAGTCACATCAACTATTGCCAAATTCAATCGGACCATTTAATTTTTTACATGAAAACGGTTGCGCGTATTCGTATGCAAATTTCAGTGACTAATCTTCATAGTGCGAGGCAAATTCTTTAAAATTGTCAAGGGAATCTGCACCCCAAGCAGCATTTCTCAACGAAAAAATCGCTATATATTGCGATTTTATCGCCGATAAAAACGCCAGGATCATCAATATTTGAGCGATTATCTTTTACCTTATCGCGATAAAATCGCGCTTTTATCGCCTGACAATTGATCGCGACATTTTCGATATAAAAATCGCGAATAAACTCGATTATCGACAAAAATTGATCACGATTTTATCGAACCAAAAATTGCGATTTGTAGCGATTTAATCGCCATATATTGCAATTTTTAATGCGATAATATCTCGATATATTGCCTCCGATATAATTGCGACAACCGACCGATAAATCGCTATTTATCGCAATCACTGCTACTTGGGACAAGCGTTCTTTTGCAAAAAATCAAATTGCTGAGTTCAATATGACAATATCTGATGTGGCTTGATTCCTTTCTGCTAAACGCGGTCCGATTGCCAATAATCCGAAAATCGAAAATTTCGATTTTTTTCCCTCTGTACCTTTTTAAAAGCTACAAGGTATTACTCACAGTCATCTCGGTGGCTGATGACGAGGAGAGGCTTGGCTTCGTCGAGGATATGGCGGACCCGGTTGGCAGGGGCTTGGACGTCAAGCGGGAGGTATGCGGCGCCGGCCTTCCAGACGGCCAGCAGGGTGACGACCAGGGTGTCGCTAGGGGGGATGCTCACGGCCACGATGTTGTCGCCGTCGCGGTTGAAGCGCCCGCCCTTCTCCTGCACGACGCGCAGGATCCCTCGGGCAAGACGGTTCGCTGCCTCGTCCAACTCCCAGTATTTCAGTTGCAGGCTCTGGTTTGACTCATCTGGAACATCGAAAACGACACGTCTCAAATTTTGCAATGGTAAAACTAGAAGACCCTGTAGTTCCTGTTGCGGTTAGACGTCGCAGAAGCGCCCTGATGCACTGGAAAAGTAACCCCGCAATGCCTTGCTACAAAATTAGAGGATTTTATCAGTAGGTAAGATGAAGTTAAGGTGATTCGATGGAGGCCATTTTTTGTGTCAAAGCGATGTGCAATATATTGCATCGATTAGCTCCACAGTTTCAGCTACTTGCCTTTTGCTTCAAATTTTGAGATCGCTCTTCTGTTGTATGGGGCTGAAGAACTCATGTACCAAATTTGACAAAGAAATTCAACGTATTAAATGAGTGGTTTTTTTAGAGGAAAAATATAGCATTCGATACTGATTTCGAAACTGCACTCGAATGCGATATTTTCCCTCTAAAAAAACCACGCCTTTATTACGTTGAATTTCTTTGTCAAATTTGGTAGTTTGACAGTCTTAAGTCTTAGTCTAGAGTTCTTAATGAGTTCCTAAGTCTCGTGACAACAGAAATGCGATCTCAAAATTCGAAAAAAAATGACAAGTAGCCGAAATTACGGAACAAATCTATGCGATATATTGCACGTCGCTCTGACGCAAAAAATGGCCTCCCTCGAATCACCTTTAATCAGTGTGCCGCGCCGAAGATAAAGGATTATGAAAATGACAAAAAAAGTTACAGCGAAACAGGATACAAATCTACAAGCTCCTAAGTCGAAAAATTGCCTACCTATGCATTGTGAAGGCGAACCTTTGGTTGAGGTTGGAACTAATGGACACAAATATATATTATAGCACGTTAAAATAGTGTCCCAAATTCTTTCCACGAAATTTTAAATTTTTGGTGATTATTTTTTCAAAAAAGGAAACATCGCCGAATATTTGCAAAATCAAGCGAAAGAAAAAAAATCTAAAAAACCAAAAAACCAAAAAAAAATCGTTGTTACGAATAAGTAACACAATGCTGCAGAGGGTGATGGGAATTTGAAGGTCGGTTCTCACCGGAGGGCAAGGACCTTTCAAAACCGAAAAGCTTCTCGCGAGGAGGCTGAAAAACTTCCTCCAGCCTTTCAACGAAACGGAAAGGCGTCAACGACTTCTCAAATCCCCTCCACCCGCACTGCTAGCTCACTCCACCCCAGCTCCTCAATTTTTCGCTGCCCCAACGACAAAAAGACGTAAAGTCATCTTCAAAATGAGCCCTGAAAACAAAGGATTTAAACGGACAACAAGGCTCATTCCCAGGGGGAAAAGTTACGCCTTCATGACGGGGCGCGACGAATTTTCACTCGAGATGGAAAAGCTGGCATGATTAATTAGCAGGGACTTGAGGGAGGAATTTGGAGAATGCGGGATGAACTTACTTTGGAATATAAGTGCTGTGTTGTCGGCGGTTGCAGGGTGGTGCGCGTTCCTCTCGAACAGACGGTGGAGGACCACGCGCTCTGGAACCCGGCGGCTAGCACCCTTGAGAATAGATAAGTCTGGAATCGATCCCATCACGAGCGCATCTGGAACACAAGCAAAGAAAATTTAGATCGGTGACGATGTTTACAAAAGAACAAAGGTCATTAGGCAAAAAGATCCTCGATAGCACTCTGCCGTGCTAAGGAAGAACGCCGTATGAGCCTTCAGGCGTTGCCAAATTCCCTCTGACATTTCTCTATTTTTCAGGACAATTTTTGAATATTTTTTCTGCAAATTTCTCAGATAATTTTGTTTGTAATTCGATCGAAAGTGTCTGAAAATTTCAAGGAGAAATATTCATAATTTTTCTCTAAAAGAAACATTTTATCCCAGGAAATTTGGCAACTCTCGAATGTTCATACGGCGTTCTTCCTTAGCACGGTAGCACTCACACTGCCGTCCACAGCAAAAGCGCAGTGGCGTGGCGTGCTTTGCGATATATCGATTGATCTGTCATTTAAACCTACGGAAAAAGATCGATATTCAGGGTGTTCGCAGCGAACACCTTAGTAATCGATTCTTTACCATAGCTTCAAATGGCGAGATATCGATAATCGATCGTTCACGCCACGCCACTGCAAAAGCGCCGTAACTCCACTCAAAATAGTTTCTTTTTCTCCAGCACGAGCTACTCCATTACAAAAAAATGCAATTGCCACAAGGGTTCATTGTTTAATTTTTAGTTCCTAATAATGTGGCGGAGTTGTGTGGAAAAAATGAAGGATGAACACTTTTTAGGGTTTTTTGTAAAACAGCATTATGTGAGGGAGAAATTGAAAAGGGTTGAATGGAGATGCGGCGTTATTACTTTGGACGGCAGAGCAATGGACTTAATTTTGTTTTTCAAAAACTCTTTAAAAAAGTACTGCTAGGCCTTGTCTCCAAGGGGTGTTTCACGGGATTTTTCCCAAGTTCGAATCGCAGGAATGAAACTTCTGGGCTTTTTTCCCGTTGATTTTCCGTTCTTTTTAATTCGTTCCTGGGGATCCAAAATGACTCTTAGTTGGCACCGTGATTAGTATTGACTAACTCAATATATTTCCCGATTTTATTTTTCCCAACTCCTACCTGAGCTCTTATAGAAATTTTTGAACTTATTGACCTTGCTTTCTCCTACACTTTTATTATATAAGTATCATATATTTATTTACACTTATATATTTATATTTTACATTTATCACCTTGTAAATTTATAACTAACTAACTAAACTAATTAACGTAATTTTAAGAAAGTTTCTACTAATTTCCCCGTCTATTTCATGAATATTTTGAAAAAATTAAAAGTAAAATGAACCCACGGTCCCCATCAAAGAAACATAATGAAAGCGCGAATTTCAAAGCATCTCAATCAATACACTTGCTTTCCGCGGTTTACCATTGATTTGTAAAGCTATTTACCAATTAAGCGCGAATCGCCGAATCTATTTCGAGCGGAATAATAGAGGATCGAAACCGCTACCGGCCCCCAAGGCCCATCTCGGGACTGCAAGGGTTAATCTAGAATGAAGGATGATAGAAATCAGATCAATTGGTAGAGTAAATTGCCTTGGCTTCGGTTTAGAATAACACTCGAATCCCGCATGCGCCCTCATCCAAATCTAGTCCAGAGCCATTGGTCAGCGCAATTAGACCTCGGGGCAGTAACTGGATCGGTTCAAGTATGTTCATCATTCGATGCGCCCTAGAGTATAAGCATTCTTATGGCGCTGAGGGGTCATCAGAAAATATATATGCTCCGTTTTGACTATTGGTTCTGCTTTGATGATGGGCTCGGTCAATCGATGAACCACTGACCTCGGTCACATCGTCGCACGAAACGGCGTTCCTCGGGTGAACATGTATGAAAGCGTATTCACTATTTCCACTTAAGCCCTGAGAGGCAAGGATTCATACCGACGGTAAGGTTCACTTCTAATTCAAGTTACGCTCATTTAAGTCGCGGCGGAGGATTCCAGAATTGCTAGGAGTTCAACCGATTTACGCATGAATGTTCAGCGACATGTTTTCTTCGTCCGTGCTAGTTAGCGAGTGGGTTAGTGATGACATTAAAAATAGAGGAGTAAACAAAATAATAATCGACTTAGGACTTTTTCTCAAAAATCGAATCTATAACGTCGTAAGGTAACGTAAACAAGGACGGTTGGACCGGGATTTGAATACAGAAGTTAAACAAATTTACACAGAAGATGCTCCCGAGGCGATGTCACATTATTGTCTGCGTTCAAGCCGGCAAAAAGGTAACGATAAATTTAAAAATGCAGACGTAAACAAAACTATAGGCGACTTAGGATTTTGAATTTTTCTCAAAAATCGAGGCCATATTAGCTTGCGCCGTTTAGCGGTGAAGTAAACAAACATGTTTGGTCCCGTATTTGAAGGCGAGAAATTGCGTTGCTGAAAAATAGAGACAGACTGCCTGTAAATAGCCATCTAATAGACAGATGAGAAAAATTGTCCTCATGAAGGTATAAGGCATTCTTCTCTTTTATTTGCCTTGGCTACAATCTGTTGCCAAGGCTAGGCTGTAGCCAAATGCACCTGCACAAGGCTACTTATGTAGTATACAAGCTAGACAGCAGTGTCGAGGGTGGATTCTACAATACTACACTCGAAGGGGGACTGTCGTTTTGAGATGAGCCCAAAAAAGTAGTTCCATACTGCAAAATGTGGTCTAATTTTGGACTTGAGAACCCACCAGTGAAGTTCTCCTAAGAGTTTTCTCGAGTGCGTATACTCTAATGTCTCTCACTTTCACACTGCTCTGCGTTGCCTCGCATAACCTGCGCTAAATCAAAATACGACCTGACCCAAAATAGCACGAATAAAAGAAAAAATTGAGAAAAAAGGGCAGGAAAAAACCCAAGAGAAGTGACAAAAAATGAAATTGGACGGTTCCGATGCTCAGGAAAGAGGCGCTGTCGGAGATTAGACACTTAGGATCGCACTGAATTCGATCGACACTGCGAATGTATCGGATATTTATGCAAATTAAAACGACAAATTACCACAGAAGAACTGAACCGTCAGCCGCCCAAGCCTAATAGCTCTTAATGACCCGTGATTCGTCAGAAATGAGCCGCTTTTTGGATTTCCTGAGAATCGTAGTAGAGTAATTAATCAATTTCGGTTACTGTCTCATGTTCGAATTATTTTTTATTCCTCTTCTGTTTTTGTCTCCTTCAAAAAAAATAATCTTCAGCATTTTAGTTGTTTCTTTCTCTCCCTTTTTTTCTTCTTCTTTCACTCCTCCTTTGTCTGCTCCTTTTTTGCTCCATCTTCTTCTTCTTCTTTTCCTTCTTCAAAACTTATCTCCGATAAATGCATCAAACACAAAAACGAGTGAACAGTATATTCTCAGACGATATCCGATACTAAAATTTTTTTCTCCCTCTGGTATTATTATTATTATTATTATTTTTTTTTTTGTCGTTTTAATGGCTCATATTCCGTTAGGAACCTACAACTATCTAAAGGCGGCATTTTTTTGTACGACAGACATTAGAGGACAGCGTAAAGCCATCTTTTGATTGAGTTTTTCTCTTGAATCGAGGGTAAGAACAATTAAAGAATGCTACGAACAAAACTGGTGTCGAGGGGTTAATGATCGATTATCGATATTTCCCTATTCGAAGGTGTGGTAAATAATCGATTTTTAAAGTGTTCGTTGCGAACACTTTGTTTATCAATCATTTCCTATATACATATAGGTTCTAATGGCAGATTAATCGATACATCGCAAAACTCACCACGTCGTTAAGAGAGACGATAAAAATTTTGAACTTCATGATCCATTGCGGGACGTCGCAAGTGCGATTTTAATAATGGGAGCAGGAGGGAGGATGCGCCGTGCCCCACTCGTTCCTACTCCACACCCCCCTTCACCCCTCCACCCCGCCCCCTCTCTGACGCGCCGTCGCACAATGGATCGAGTTAATGGGAGAGGTCGGACAAAATGGAGATGTTGCATGTGTGAGGAATTTGCAAATTGACTGTTGATTCATGAGTAAAAGCCCGCGAGAAACACGGTGGTGCTGCTGGTTTTTTCTGAAATCAACTCCCAAGCTCAAAAAAACTCTCAAGTTAAGGCCAAAATGTAGGGGATATCCCACGCTATCCTGAGAGTCCACGTCTACATCAAGGCAAACTCTCCATGCAAAGATACTGAGCAAATACATTAGCAGTGATGCCGTGTTTTCAGTTTTGGAGTCCCAAAATAAAGTGGCAACCCTGCTAATGTATTTGCTCCCTATCTGTGCACGGAGAGTTTGTCTTGATGTAGATGTGGACTCGCAGGGTAGGGTGGGATATCCCCTCCATTTTGGCCTCAACTTGAGAGCTTTTTTTGAGCTTGTGAGTTGATATCGGAGAAAATCAGTGGCACCATCGTGTTTCTCACGAACTTTTACATTATAATCAACAGTCAAATCGCAAATTCCTCACACATGCACCATCTCCATTAGCGAACTTTAAAAGCTTATAACCCCATTTATACACAACGTTGAGATTTTGAAAGCTGTTCCATTAGTTTCCTCGTGAAATTTTCTTCTGGAGGCACCCCTTAAAGTTTAGAATGTGACCGATTTTTTTTTTTTTTTTTTTTTTTTTTTTTTTTTTTTTTTGTAGTTCTACCGGGAGAAAAAGTGGCGAATCTTCTCGAAGATATGACAGTTTAAGCATCCTACTTCGCTGGCTGTGTTATACACAGTCAGGGATTTCGACTCTCATCTGTTTCGCGCTACCACCCCAACATGGGGTGGGTTTCGGCCAGATGATTGTCTAGATGATTAAACTATCATATGTTGGTTTGGCTCTGGATTAGAAAATACTCTGATCAGGAGTAGGCTAGGGAGATCGGGGACCGAGGTCGAGCCGACCAACTAAACCAAACTCACGGCTGCATATCTGCCCGGATGACACCGGAATCATCCCTGCTAGGGGACATTTCTCCGGCTGCAACACATGTGGGTGTTGGGGTAGGGGAGGGACTTCGTATTTGGTTGGGATTTTGAGTAACTTTATTTTGACTAGCTTGTTTGTTTTTGAG